GAAACTAAGCTAGCTCGGTCACTTAAGTTTATTTTTTTTGTTTATTTTTTTCTTTAGAAAAACAGGTGGCACAAATAATTAAAAGAATAAATTGCGTGACATTTTTTGATAAAATTTACTTATTTTTAATTCGAACGGCACTAAAAATTTCTTTAAAAGTGTTCGGAGTAAAAAAAACGTTTTGAGATTCAGACTAATTTCGAGCAAGTAAAGCAACTTTATGAGCAAATTTTTGCATTACACCTTCTAAATTAGACAAAAAATTTTCAGTCTAGTAGTGATAAAAAATTTTTATTCGGTAAAATTGGAGTGGAAGCTTTATGTAGCGCTCATCTGGCATTAAAAATTTGGAAATCTCGAAAGAAATTATACTGCGAAAAAATTTTGTCTTTTATTTTGTGTTCTTTTATTTCTACTTCGTTCGCGTTATATGCTTTTGTAAATACTTTTCATCACTTTTCGCACAAAAAATGTTATCAAATAAAAAATTTAAATTTTTATCACAGTTTTTTGTGAATTTGATCGGAACGTTCTGCGCTGCTACCAAATATTCTTATTCATTTTTCAATTTTTGCAATTTTTGCATCGGAACGTTCTGCGCTGCTTATAAAAGAAACTGGGCGTTTTCTGTATAACAAATGTCAGCTTTTTTTGTGCGGATTTTTAAAAAATAAAGTAAATAGGGCTCTCAAAAGAACAGAGTGCAATACGGTTCACATAAACAGGAAACGTTTTTTAAAAAATGGAAAGTAGTGGGATAATCATATATATGCAACCATATCAACAAACAAACCATTGAGATATGAGACGAAATTTTGCGTCAGTTTTTGGTATACATTTAATTTACTACAGGTTGTAGTAAAACTTAGCATTCAGAAAGCTACTTCTTTCTAGCTACTCTTAAACAATAAATAACCCCTCAAACATTTATAGGGCCAAGTGTGTGTATTCAGTGCTTCAAACTAAATTCAATTAAAACTTTATCAAGCCCCCACACACTTTAGTTTAGAAAAGCGAAGACTCGAAAACTTGTTTAGACTTTTGCACGGTCAGTTAACTGGGTTTTCGTTTAATTTAAGCATGAATATGCGGATTGATTCACCCCGTAATTCCTGTCTCGAGGCACACCTAGTCTGACACTTTCTCATTCATATTTACCCATTTTGCGGTTTTGGGTTGCTTACCGCGCGGCCTTGTTAAAATCAAAAAGGTAAGTCGCACATTTTTGTTTGAAGAGTTTACACGAGCAGTTGAGCAATCACCCACATTGAAGTCGGAAAAAATTTTCGATTTCAGTTTTTTTAATTATCTTTTTCGTAGCCGTTGAATAATAGAAAACTTGTTGAAATTTGAGTTTTTTGGCGGATATAGTCTAAAACTACTTTTATACCTGGTCATGAATCCTTCTTTCTAAATCGAACTGGAAATATCATTACAGGGATTTTAAATGAAGAGGACTTTTTTCAAGAACAGGTTTTGGCAAAACAGGTTGTTCCATACAAAACTTTTTGGCTCTTTACCGCTTACCCCCCCTCACTACATTTCAAATTGAGTTTCAAAAAACTAGTTCAACAATTTTAGAACTAACGTAATGAAAACTTGCACGGTGAACAAAGTCACTGATGTGAACACATTGTTCTTCATACCTTACATTGTAACATTACGCGATTAGCTATAATAACAAACATCTAAGAAACACTGAAATGTGGGGGGAAAGTGGAAAAAAGCTGTTTATTTCACAAGTCCGAAATTTTTCAAAGCTCTCCTTGGTGAACGTATTATTGCTTCAATCAGGTAATAGTTGGGAATAGGATAACCTTTTTTGTTAACTTTTATGCATGTTCTTTGAAAATTGAACACTTTTTATTGACGGAGACTCTTAGCTAAGAAAAGTTGCTTAGTGGGCTCAAACAGCTATACACCTGATATTGAATAATCGTTAAGCCAATGGTGCCAATAAACCGTACCAATAGAGCGTCTCTGAAACTAGGATGACTGGGCTAGACTGCAATAAATACTTACGACTGACCAAACATATCGTTGGCGAGCCTCAAAATTGAAGGTTATCATAAAGCCGTATTATAGCCAAAAGTCTGTTGAAAATAAGCAATTTTTTTTAATACATTTATTAATTGAACATTTTAAGTGCACGGTCTTGGCAAGCAAAGGCCGTCTGCTTCGCTTCGCTCCGTTGCGCTTTATCAGTAACGAGAGGCCAAGTATTTTATTAGCAAGGAAAGGAGTAGACGCATGAATCAGTGTTCGCCCTTTTTTTTTCGACTATCCGCGCATACCTTCAACACTTGAATTTAGAAAAAATAACGGCACGAATTTGATATGTTCCTCTTATACAAATACTTGAAAAACACCAAACTAATTTAGTTCCAGACTTCGAGAGTCTCGCCACGAACTGTTTAGTCGCGACTTGATTTCGAGTCGGAAAACTATTAGTCGGAAAACAATTTTGACCGCAATATTGTTTTCAAAAGTTATCAAAAAACATTTTTTGGGTAGAGGGAGTAGCGGGATGAGGGGGTGGTAAAATTCTGTTTTCAGAGAGCTGATTCAACAAACTATTTAAAGACATCATCGGCCACCAATAAAGTCTGAATCAGATAGCTGTCTGGATTGAGAGTAAATCTAGCTGTTAATCTGGAAACTTATTGTTTTTGGATTTTCAACAAAAAGCAGTCGGAAGTATTTAAAAGAACAGTCGGAAATTGTTTGGCAATGCAGTAACACAAAAAGAAAAATAATAAACTACGAAACAATTCATTTATAAAAAAAAGCTCAGAATCAAAATTATTTTTGTCGTGTAGTTTGTGTTTTGTTTCCAATGCATTCAAATAAAAATCATTTGATAAACAATGTAAGAAGACTTCTTAGATTAAAAGAAACGCGCAGCGAAGGGGGATGAAAACTCGATGACATTAGGACTCTGGAATGGTAAATGTATTGATTTGTTGCCAAAGTCACAACCCTCACAGGGTTTGAAAGACGAAAGCAACGTCGCAGCAAAGTACCCATTGAAGAATAACAATGGCCAACTCGATGTTGAACTCACTTACGAATCCTAGTCACTGGGCGCTTCACACAAATAAGTCAAACGCTATGTCGCCATTCGATGAATAGTTGAGAATGCACATAGTCTCGCTCTAACTTAACGAAATCAACACATCATTGTATAAATCTGAAATCTTGACACGATCACTCGACACTATCACTCAACACGATCTGGATACGCGAGACCCACTTCTGGAGTGCGAGCAGTTGTACCCCTTCTTTCTCCACGAACACAACGACTCCTCAACACGAGCAACTGTTTCTTTCTTCTCGTCACGCAACCACTGCTTCTAAAGAATCTACTGCAAGAATCAAAAACTTTCTCCATCAATCGTTCACAACGAGAAACATGAAACCTAACAACTCTCTAAACCCCGGATGGGTGGAACCAACTTAAAACTAATATTTATATCCTATTATATTATTGATAAAATTATATCTACAAAATACTTACTAAGCAATCATGATCCATAACTAACACTTACAATAAATTGTGAGGCTGAACCTATTGTAAGTTTCAGCCAAAACAGAATTAATCTAACATAGCAAGCAGTTGCTCTTCTCCAGAACAGTTCCTGATATCTTATCTTGCAAATGGCCTTAATTAAAAAAAAACGCCGGGTTGAAGGATCTTAACTTGGTCTATTTGAGTGGAGGATGTTAACTGGATTCTAAAGATCACTTTCGTTAGATCAATCAGCCGGTTTTTGAGAGGCATAAATTATAGTAGTAAACGCATTCTGCAATGTTTTAATTTTTGATTTTTTAAACCTCAATGAAATGCTCAAAAAATGTGAAAAAGCCAAATGTTGAAGAAAGTCCATGAAATTTATTACTTTTTTGGGATCTTGTCAACTATTCCCCTCCATCCCCCTATTGCAATAGGGGGGGTGGGGGGGGGGGGGGTGGGGGGTGGAGGGATGAATAGTTAACAAGGTACAAAATTCGTATATGCTTAACTGTTCACTTTATTCGAATGTTACAAAATTGGCATGCGAACTAATTAGTTCATGACAAACTAATTCTTTTTTTGGCTCTTTTTCCTTCCCCACTGCAAATTTTTACAAGCAACATGTTTGCTCTAATTGTTCGATTGTAACGAAAACTGACATACGGACTAAGTAGGTTATGGCAAACATATTTGGTCTTCATAATTAACCTTGCGAAACCACTCGTTACACCATAAAAATTATGTTCGTGTGATGTGGGGGGAAAAGAAAAGAGCCCCTTTTTATAGTTTTTTATAGTTTTATAGGGGGGATGTTCCTTACAAGGTACCATATGGGGGGGACAGGGGGGAATAGTTAACAAGATCCCAGTTTTGTATTTTTTAAGATAACTTTCGGCTTGAAGTCCCTATTTTTACGAATCGGCTTGAAGATCCGTCGGCTTGATGTACGGCACCCATATTTGCTCAACTGTTATTCGTCTATTTGAATATCGTACGTCCGACCGTCTGTCTCGCTGTCTGTTTCTTAGACAACAAGTTACGCAATAAAATAGTCATCGTTCCAAATAAGGAAATTTTAAACATCGTACATGCTTCACAAATACATTTGCACGTAAAAAGTTCAGTTAAAAAGTTTTTTCATGCATTTGCGTTGTGGTTTGAAACAAAAGAACAAAACAAACCCTTTGTCCTTGCAAACTCGTAGAAACACAAAAACGCCCACGCGCGTTAAGTCAGTCCTATGATTAAAAGAAAAAGAACGTGCTCATATAGTTGAGTGGTTCATGTAATTAAGTTTAAAGTTACACGCATAACAACAGAACATCAAAAATCGAAGTTTAAAATACGAGATTTACGTAATCTCTTATATTTTTGCTCAGTTATTCTCTTGTACGTGTCTTACTACGATTACGTTAAACTGTTAACACTTCAGATATCAGAAGAAAATGGCTTAAAATTCTTGTAATGAGAATTTTTGTTTGTTTAGAATGAACGATAACCGATCGAAGTTGGCGCAAGTATCGTGTGTATAATTTTGCTTTTTATCCAAACTTTATTGATTTGTTTATTTTTCCTTCTTTAATTCATATTCGTTATCATTATTTGTTGGAAATGAGTCATCAAATTAGATCGTCTTTTATTTTGATTTGCTTACTTGGGACGTTAAGCCCGATTTTTTTGGCCGCAGCTACCCAGCCAAGAGGTGTAAATTACATTTCGCGCAGCCAAACATTGCAAAGAACAGACGCATTCCATTCCTACGATTACGAACCGATAGCCACCACTAGTTTGAAATCAGCCGTACATGGGTTATACGAAAGCGACACGAAAACTTCTTTCGAATCCATGAAAAATGTGCTCGAGAGTATCGAGCCTTATTTAGCAACAATGTCCCCCAATTCCACTGGTAATTATCCCACTTTCAGCGACTGGGGCTTGAACATTGCCTCGCTTCAGTACACCCAAAAAGCCTTTTCTGGCAAGACGGGTTTGCCGTGTTTAGAGCGAATTGACACGGGTGACGAACTCGTTTACAAAGTTACCCCAATTTTCGACGATGAAACGGATCATAACAAGGAACCCGCTACGTTCTCCGTTGTCGATATAGACGCTTCGAAGGAACCTAACCACAGGTTTTTAAACAAAGAAGACCACATAGAAATTGTTTCCAGAGTTTTGGCGTACAAATGGATTTTCACCGGAGATACCCACGGCATACCTTTCCACAAAGTAAGGTTTGGTCACAAATCGAATTTGGACATCGAGGTAATTAAAGAAAGCAAGTTCGAAAAGTCAGCCAAAATGCAATGTGTCCAATGGGAAGATGACGCGGCGTCTTGGAAGACTTCGACAGAGTACTGTCACGTGATCGAATCTACCGATGATTGGACTGAGTGTTACTGTTACGACTTGAGAGAAATGTCGCGGAAAGCGATAGCTGTCGGACTCGTTGGGACTCCTAAGAAGCAACTGCCGATCGCTTTGCCACTCAAGGAGGCTCCTGAGATGTCTCTGGATCCCGTATTGACAAAACAGACATCACCTGAGAGAGAAAGTACGTCGGATAAAACGTTAACACAGATTAACCCTAAAGAGTCCGCAAATCTTAGTCCGTCGAAAGAAGAACAGGAATCGGAAGGTGAAAATTCTGAAATTCAGGTTTTGGAACCCAAGTTTGATGGAAAATTGCATCGCAAGTTCGATACCAAAGAAACGATTCCTCTGTTCACCAAAATAACAGAATACGTTTCGAAGTCAATCAAAGACAAAGCTGAGCTGATCACAGGCATTGAACAGCTGAATGACAGAATGTATAGTTATTTGCTTGAAGAGCACACGGATGTTTACGGAATCAAGGCTACTGGAACTGCTTTCGACCACGAAGTCAGTCCGGAAGGTGTTCGATTCCCGCCTGTTGTAAAAAGTGCTGGAGGACTTCTGATGTCGCGCAAGTTTCTGAGCAATTTCCAATTTCTGTAATTAGCCCTTTGAAATTTTCTATCTAAATAAAAATTCTTTTAGCAAAGCACACACAATCCTTGATAATGAAAATGACTTTTTTTGAAACTGACTCGTGTAGTCGCTGTGAAACTCGGATGTGCAGATCTGTGATCTCCGCTAAAGGTAAGATTTTGGTATAAAAGGAGGTTGTCCACTTTTTGGTGTATAATTTCAGTTTTCCGACAAGTTTTGACGTCATAATGCATAGTTCTTGTAATTGTAATACACACTATCAAGTGTTTTTTTTACATGCTTGAAGGACCGGTGAATTCCCATAGGTTCCAATATTCATAGGTTCCAAAATCAAAAATCAGTCGCATAAGTTCCAAAATTTATCTTCTTGAATTCTGATTGGCTGAAATTTGAGCCAACGAATTTATGGATCGATTGTTTACTGTTCAACCAGCATAAACTCAAGCTGCATAATAGTGACCGCCGCAGCCGCGCCAACGTGTTGCGAGCTTGCCACCAAAGGGTAGGACTCTATACGAAATTTAGAGCCGGTTATCGCCGCAAAGCGGCGACGCGCGCCCACCTGCGACCTTAAACCGAGACTCGGCTAATTTAGTCTTTTGACCAATTGAAAAGATTTGGAACTTATGCGACTGCTTTTTTATTTTGGAACCTATGGGACTGATTTTTTATTTTGGAACCTATGAATACGCACCGAAGGACCGAATGCTTGAAATTTATTTAAGCTTACTTTCAGCCAATCAGAATTGAGTATTCAAAATCTCAAAGTAAATCGTGAAAATCTCAAAGTAAGAAAATAAATCTAGGCCATTAGTGTTAATACTGACCGATTAGATAATAAGCAGATAAGTTTTCAAGACTGAAAAAATCTTATGATTTTGACCTCATTAATCTTGATTATTATCTGAATAATATTGCGGTTGTAACCAGCAATTTGTAATATTTTTGATTATTTTCCACTGATTTAATACATTTTCTGTTAATATTGACTTCGATTTTGTGAGAAAGCCATTTAGCCAATCGAAACGCTTAGCGATTTTGATTGATTGAAAATTTTCAAGCATTCGGTCCTGCAAGCATGAGAACCCTCCCCTTTTTTACATAGGTGCGAAGAAGTTATTCGCAAAATCTTACAAAAAACCGGATGGCAAAAATGGAAAAACAGATGATTTAGTATAAATCTGACTGATGAAGAAAAAAGGAAAATAAACTTCATTAGCTGGAGTAGAGATAAAAAAACATTATTTTTTTGTTCGAATAATCTTCATTTACACAACACACCAACTTCACCGTAAATAATGTTATCGCTTGCGATTTGCTTGAAGTTTTCATTTCCTCAACGCGAGCTATTGTTTCAGAAGACATATCGAACGAAAAGAATCAAGTCAATCAGTGTTGGTCCTTTAATAACACAGTACGTTTTAAACATGTCTTAAACACTGTTTAAAACGTCTGTCAGAAATAGCGTGTTTTTTTTCTCGTGTCATAAATGACGTCATAACAAACCGGCCTCCGATATGTGCTTGAGATTACTTGCACTTGTTCCCACCTCGGCCGGCCTCGAAATATTTTTATCGACGATGGGAATGGTTGAAGACGGAAAAAAACAACTTGGACAGTGCAAAAACTGCAAAACTTCCATTTGGTATGCGTGCTCTTAATGATTGAATTTCATTATTGAACGTTTTTGCTCAGTTTTTAATTTTGACATTTTAAACATTAATGACGTTATAAACGTTTAAAACGTTTTAAACGCCCTTTTTCCAAAAATTACATAAATCGACCAACACTGAAGTCAATTGAAGCTTGCATAAAATTTTTCAGTTGAACGTAAACAAGACGAAAAATCATTGTCGAAAGTTTCAAAGTTATGTTGTAAATATTTTGTAATTTTTGTTAGTTCTAATCGCAAATCTGATATACAATCAATTATAATCGAGCCATAAATAAGCAGAAAGTTCCTATCACATTGTACTGAATGAAAATGGGAAAAAATTGCAGTTACGAATTGAAAAAAAAATTAGGCCAGAAAAACCGCTCGTACATGCGCTTTGATGACAAATTGTGTAGAAACAGCAAATAGAGGCGGTTAAGCTTATGAAAGCTTATTGGAAAGTAAGTGTTAATGAAAACTACAAAAAATTGGAAAACATAACAGGGATAGCCGGTTGCTGTGCTAGTAGCACTGAATGTTCCCACAATGATGCAAGCTAAGAAAGTCGAAGGTCAAGAAAAAATAAAAGTTTCTGCTATTCTTTTTAAGTACAGGGTGACTGAATTCGGAGAAAACGCAAACTAGAGAAGTAAAGTATTAATAGGTAAAATAACGTTGAAAATGTAGCCGAATTGAATTGAATAGCCAAGTTAAAACTTCCTTCAAAATATATTTTTTCTCAAATATGCTAATATAAAACTTGCTTAAAAATTCATAATTGTTTAACCCTAGTGATAGTTAGATGTTCTAGAATAAAAAACAGTATTTTTTAACAAAATTGATTGCAATTTTTTTATCTGCATCATTGTAAATTTATCCGGTTAAACAATTCAACTGGAAGATTTTTTTCGTCAAAGGTTGTGTGAAATTCAAGCTGAATTGAATTGGGAAGTCAGCCAATTTCATCTGACGTCAAAGTCAAATTTTACCCAAATTAGTAGATAACCGAAAAAATTCAGATCTGTTTTTTCTCGACACAGAGTATTCGAATCACGATTAATTAGGTTAAAATGGTATCGCACCAAACCGCCTTAGTTTTCTTTGAGGAAGTCAAAATTGACTGGAGAAAAAGGACCTTGGACTCCCCTCCCTGACGTCATGCTTTTAATTTGGCCATTTTGATATAAATAGTTATGTAACTCACCTTAACATGAAACTGGAACTCAAACTTATTTTCATTTAACTGTTAACATTGATAACTTGCTATGACTTGCTCCGATGGATGACATAGGCTTTAGAGGAATACGGTTGACTCAAGCATCCCTCAATGCAAGATATGCGTAATCTCTCGAAATTTTTAAAACAGTAAGAAAAACTACAGTTGAAAAGCCGTTATGCTCGCAAAACTGTTCGTTTGTAATTACCTAGTCAGAAACTGATCAGAAAAAAAAGCAGTTGAAGCCAAATGAAATGAGGCTGTTACGTGATTTTGAGTATCTCGATGAAATGATTTAGAAAAACTAAACCTAATAGAACAAATTATTCCATATTTTCATTTGACTGTTTAATTCGCTCCAGAAACAAGCATTCGAAATTGCGAAAGTGAGCCGACGTACTTTTGGAAAAAAACTTCGCAATTGAACGAAATCAACTAGAGAAACTTATTAAATTGTGTCTTTTTAGAGAGACATGTACTCCGAGGGGTAGCCGTTTGTGACCCCCAATGGTATACATTATTGGAGCCAGATGTCGTCATAAAGTGACACAATCCCTGACGTACAATAACAGGAAAAAAATCAAAGCCCAATCAACCTCTATCAGCGGACTTTCCTTGAACCTCAACGCCAGGAATCCCCTCAAGGTAGTCCAGAATCTGTTCAAAAATCAAGGCGTACTTCGACAACGCAAAGATATTATCATCTGGCACCATATTACCAATAATAGCATCACCGCCCACTCAAGCAACTATTGTCTAAATCGAGACATATACCGACCCCTTAGTCCTCGCAAACTTGCTAGGACTCTCGAAAACCTCAAGAAAAAATACAGTATTAAAGCAGTTGTGTACACCCGAAGGCAAGGTACTCCAGGCCTCTCAATCGCTTTGTGAGATAATGGAATTCTGATCCTAGAAGTACAGAAAAATCTGCTCCTGAGAAAAGAAAAAAGAAATCCCGAGCTTCTATGCGAACTTAACCGAATCCACCCCCAAACAGCATTTGACCATCAACTGGTTTCAAGATTTCTGCGCAACAGTCATAACTTACGTGGACTTATTCGCAAGAAACGATCAAATAAGAAGACGATAAACAAAGCACAGAAAGACAGACAAAAAAAAGAGAGGGGAAACCAGTCGAAAGAAAAACCAGGAAGAGAAGGAAAGCCAAAAAAACCTGAGTAAGAGTAAATTTTTCTCTTTTTCCTGTGAAACCGGAGGTGAGAAACCTTAGAATCGCGGAATAGAATAGAATTTCGTTTGTGCTTTCTCACATCCTGTTTGGGCCAGTGAATCCGGAGGTGAAAAACCTTGGATTCACGGTTCTAAGCAGCAGTTTTCTCTTTTTCTAGACCCAGTGAATCCGGAGGTGAAAAACCTTGGAGTCGAGGTTGTGGAAAATCTATTTTCTCGAGACATTTGCAATCAAACTCAGTGAATCCGGAGGTCAACAACCTTGGAATCGCGGATTGTGTGGAAATGCCTCCTCTTTCCTCTACCGAAAATTGCAAAACTTGCACCAGAAATTTTGGTAAACGTGAATAACCTTCTTTTGTACAGCATGCGGCGATACAATGCACATGACCACAGCGTGTACAGGCATGTCCCATGTAGCCACAATGGGCTTCCACGAAATTAGTCAGAACGTGCTCCTCTTGTGCAACCAATGTGTACAGATGAACAAACGCGACAGCATAATTGATAGACTCGCAAGCAGTAAAGAACAGGAAACGCTATAAGAAAATGAACTCAAAATGAAAGAGACTTTAGTCGCAATCAAGGAAAAACTCGAACAGTTCGGAGATATAAAAAGTCAACTGCAAAGCGTACAATCTGAAGTGAAAAAAACAGGTCACGAACTTCGCTGAAAAAGTGAAAGAAAAACCCACAAAAGCAACAACTACCCCCAAAAAGGAAAGTTATGATGGGATAAGGCTTCTAGCAATACCTGAACCAAATGGGTCGAGCGCCCGGGAACGACTAGAGAAAGATTTAGACAAAGTTAAGAAACTCGTTGACTTCTTGGAAATAGATTGCGTGATTGAAGATGCAAAACGGGTGGGCAATTATGACCAATCAAAAACCAGAACTCTTGTAATAAAGCTTGTCAACGAACACCATCGTCGACTCAT